TCTATGCAGTAAGAAACAGCAAGTAAGTAGTAAAAAACTCACCTTCTGTCCTGCTTTACCATCCAGTCCTGCAAGGCCCTATGAAAATAGAGGCATACAAGTATCAGCATCAGTCTCGCTAATCATGACCGCAACTGTAAATGTCCCGCATTTGCACCCAATCACATTCTGCATCCCACACTCTCACTCTCTGTCCCATAAATAGGTATGAGGAATATATTGTGATGGTATTGGAAATCATTACAGAGAAATGCGAACAAGCGCTTTATGGTATGTTGCATAGAATCCTTTTTTTGTCAGAATTTTTTCTGAAGAACAGAGAGGAGAAATTTTAATAGGCTAAAAAAATGGAGAGGCCTTTACCGTAATCATTGAGTAAAATTAAATCTGACACAGTAAGTGGTCGAAACTTTGAGGGGGGAAAAGTTTATGGATTTCATGGATGATAAGAGAGACCTCAATGTTTCTTAAGGTATAATGAAGCATGATAGAAAATATGTTCTCCCTGCGAGAGGGTAGTGGAATGGCGACAGCATTTCTCATTCAACACAACAACAGCAGGAGAAAAAGACCTCGCTGATTGTTGGCTTATTTCATTGAGCTTGGCAAACACAAATATGGCGGGCCCACTGAGGTGAACAGCACTGTCAGCTGGATATTTTGCAATGATTAAGTGTCTACCAGGCACCGAATTGTGTATTGGAAGATAAAAGCAGTTTCAGGATGCTAAACAGTGACATTTAATCAAACATGCTAAACTGTTTCTAGTTTTTTGTGATAAACACAAGCAGTGGTTTCGAGAGTGAACTCACAGGTGGACCCTGCTCTCCTTTGCCTGGGGCCCCTGGTTCTCCTTTAGGTCCCTGCTTGCTCTGAAAGGCCACAGTGTTGCCAGTAGAGTTGGAAGAGACCACTGGACATGGTTCACATGGATCTCCCTGAAGACAGAAAAAAGCATATTAAATGGAATGTTCCTCTAAAAATGAAAATTCTCTAATCATTTGCTCACCTTCATATTGTTCTAAACCTGTATGACTTTATTATGGTTATTATGGTTAACTAAAACTAAAACTATTAAAAATATTTTTGTTAATTGAAATAAAGTTGAAATAAAATATAAATAATACAGCTGCAAGCAGCGATTAACAGGGTTCAAGCACTTTAAGGCATTTAAGCCTATATTTGGCCATGCTCCTTTTAAAAATGACCCTGTTATAGCTAACCAAAGTGTAAAGTTGATTTTTTTTTTTTTGATAATTATTGACCTTCAGTGTCCATAGAATTGTACTCCCGCATGTGCTCACCCATTTTTGTGAAGTTTTGAGTTTTCATTTAGGATGTATAGGCTTTGGGGTATATTTGGCAACACCCATTTTCTAAATGACCCTGTTACAGCCATCCAGATAGGAAAGTTCAACATTTTTTGATAATTATTGCCCTAGAGAGTCCAGATAATTTTACTACAGTTGTTTTATTGAGGTTGAGTGTAAAACCTAGGAGTAGTTCGCAAAAGAAGGTTTTTTAATAATAATGCCAAGTATTTAAATAACAATTTGATTGACAGCAGTGGTCCTAGAAGCAAAGTTGTTCAGAATGAGGAGATCGATTGTATGATGTGAAAATCTAGTGTATGCGTGAATATATGAACATTTTCTGCAATTTGAGGTCATTTACCGTAGAAATAGAGTGTTTCCCTTCCAAGGGAACTTGAATTGCGTCCTCTAGTGGTCACTATGGTGTTCCCCATAGTGACCGCTAGAGGACGCAGTGTCTCGTTCCCTTCTCAGGGATCCATGGTTACATGTGTAACCTGAGACGTTTAGAAGCCTTTTTAACTGTTATAGCACCACCTGTGGTCCGATCTCCATAAAACTTTGCATGCTTGTTTAGAATCACCTGTTGCATGTGCTCACCTAGTTTCGTGATGTTTTGAGTTTTCATTTAGACTTTATAGGCTTTTGGGTATATTATAGCTACCCAAAAGGGTCAAGACCTAGAGAGTCCAGATAACTGTACCACAGTGCTTTTTTCGAGATTGAGCGAAAAACCTAGTACTAGTTCCCAAAAATAGTTTTACATAATAGCTACATAATCTCAATTATTTAACAAACAATTTGATTGACAGCAGTGTTTCTAGAGGCAAAGCTGTTCGGAATGAGGAGGTCTATCAGTTGATATGAATATTATGTGTATGTGTGAAAAACCGCGGAATATACAGTCGTTTACACCCTTGAAAAATGTGATATCACCCCCGCAGAGTCTGATTTCTTTCAAATATCTCACAGACCTTTAGGGCCATGAGTCAAACAGGCCTACTGAGTTTCATTCCGATCGACTTCCGTTAACCTTGTCCAGTAGGTGTTCAAACTTCATTGGCCAATGGCGGCCATGTTTTTTGAGATACACAAATGTCCATATAGACACCTGTGGCACTTTAGACAAAGACACTGCATACAATTTTCATGTTGATCGGACAAATGGTTGCATGGTTGTAGCCGTTTTAATGTTTTTTCCCCTCTTTAGTAAAAGTGGCCCTGCCCCTTTCTAATGTTTTGGCATCCCTTTGTGACGGTGAGTTGAAAGTTAAATTTTTTTTTGATAATTATTGATATTCACTCTCCAGAGAATACTTCTGAACTGGTTAGGTTCCAAAAGTAGGTTTTTCAAAAAATCCAAAATACCCAAAAATTTCACCAGGGTGATGAATGCCATGTGTTTTGTCCATCGTGAGCCAATGATTCCAACGACATAAGGCACTTGAGCCTGCGACTAAAGTTTTAGGAGAGTTATGAGCAATTTTGTACTTTTGATCTCTGTAGCACCCCCGTCAGGCCGATTGGGGCATGCCTGGGTGACGTTGTAGACGGTGTGAGTACTACAATCCCTCCAAGTTTCAAGTCTCTACGACTTACAGTTTGGTCTGCCCGATCAGTTTTATGTGGAGATTGCTGATCCTTGGCCATTCTAACAATTACAATACGGTTTCAGCACTACACGCTTGAACCCCTAATTAAAAGAAAAACTTAAAGTAAACAGAAATTAAAAACCCTTACTGAAATACAGGTATGTTGAAACACTAAAACTACTAAATGGAAATACAAAAAAAATAATAATAAAAGAAACTGAATGAAAACTGAAAAAAAAAATTAATAAAAATAAATTAAACATAAATAGTCATATAAAAAATGACAAAAAGCACATAACAAAATGACTAAAAATTTAACTAGAATTAAAATGAAATTCAAAATGTTAATACAAATTATTATTATAATAATAATAGTATATTAGAGTTGGGGTACTCTGACTTGCAATTATGAATGAACTCAGACTCTGACATTTTGAACACAAACATTTTTCAGAGTACAGATGAATTCATGTGTAACATAAAAGATAAAAAAAATAAGTAACAACATAAAATTAAGATAAAAATACATAAATGCAGGTCTCCTATTCAAACTCAATTGTTTAAAAACCAGGACTTGACTCAGACTCAACAAGGTGGACTCGGACCCAACCCTTTAGTATATAAATAATGCTAAAAAAACACAGGTATGACTTTCATACTATGGAGAAAATGGCATTGGACATTTGTGTCACAAGCAAGAAAGCAAGTCATATGAGTTTGGAACAACATGAGAGTAAGTAAATTATGTGTAATAATTTTTGGTGGAACTGTAACTTTTAAAAATAAAGCAATAACAGTCAAGAATATGCACTGTGACTTTCTGTGAATTCTGAGCAGACTCATAACAAGCAACAGTAATTTTCAAGCAGAATCTCAAACTCGGACTGCTTAGACTTACCTTCTCACCTTTAGGTCCCCAAGGACCTCTCGGACCCTGTCAGCAAAACAAACCACGTCATTGGGTATGCATGAAGATTAGAACCGCAGAAGCTCATTGAGTTGCAAATGCAAATTATGCGCTGATAGCTCCAGTGGTAATAAAATTAATTATGGTGCTGATGATAGTAAACATATTTTGTCGCTTACAGTGACAGAACAATCAGGATAGTGATAGAAAATCAGGATAATTAGCATCTTCTGTCTTAACGATTCAGCACACGCCATCGTTTCACATTGACATCCCTCTATAGGTCAAAATGAGAAAAAAAAAATGCACTTGCAGGTTCTCCAGGCTTTCCGTCTTCACCAGGTATCCCTGAATCCCCCTAGAAATGGACAGAATGTTTTGTTATTATTAGATATAACTTTGCAATGGATTCAAGAAAGCTAATGGTACATTTTCATTAAAAATATATTTAACATCCTGATCACTTTGTGGTCAAAGCAGGAAAACATATATTAGTAAACATACTTTCTCTCCTTTAGATCTTGGAGGTCCACCAGGGGGCCCCTGTGAGGTAAAAGGGGACAAAATAAAAAACTAGTATACTAATAACTGTAAAATGCTTAGTATCCTTTTTTTTTTTGTATGTTAAACAGCGCACAATATGCAACAATAGATGCTTTAACACCATTAGAATACAAAATGTACAGTGTGTCACATGACATCAAATTATATGTTGATTATTAAATTGTATCATATACACACTACTGACCAAAAGGTTGGGGTTGGTAAGATTTTTTTAATGTTTTTGAAAAAAAGTCTCTTAATCTCTCCAAAGCTGCAATTGATCAAAAAACAGTAAAAACAGTAATATTTTGGAAATATTATTATAATTTAAAATAACTGTTTTCTATTTTAGTAAATATATGTAAAATGTCATTTATTCCTGTGATGCAAAGTTGAATTTTCAGCAGCCATTACACCAGTATTCAGTGTCACATGATCCTTCAGAAATCATTCTAATATGATGATTTCTTACTACTTTTGTTGAAAACAGTTGTGCTCTTTAATATTCTTGTGGGAACTGATACACTTTTTCAGGATATTTTGATGAATGGGAAGTTCAAAAGAACAGTATTTATTTTAAATATACATATTTTGTAAGATTATAAATATTTTACTGTCACTTTTGATCAATTTAATGCACCTTTGCTGAATAAATCTTTTATTAAAACATTTGAACACTAGTGTATACTTCAAAATACCCCAAAATCTCATTTTTTTAAAATCCAATTTTGGTGTAAAATATTTAAACTCTTGTCAGTCTGATCAAATAATAAGTGACAAAATGTCATTTTTAATTAAATTTGATCATTGTAAATTAAAGGTCAACAGGTCAGTGTGTTGCATTTTTCTGCTGTATACCAAATATTCTAGCAAATGCTGTAGGTCTACACATTCATGCTACAGGAATAGTGATAGTGCAGAACACATACATACTGCATAAATGCTAATGTAGTATGCAGAGGAGTATACTATTCTTAATATAGCCTGATTATATTATAGCAGTCTGATTATTTTAGATTTTTGCCAATTCAGAAATGAGAGGGAAAAAAAAAAAAAAAAAGTATGAAAATGTATTGGCAGAACAAAACAAAGCTGAAAAGTTGTTCCAAAAACATTGATTGACAATACAAAAATAAATAATAATAATAATAAATAAATAAATAAATCAGTTACAGTTTTTCTCAGAAACTCAAAAACTTTCTGCAGTTGGCAGATTTTTGCAGCTCCAGTTTTTGGAGGTCGGCTCTATTTTCTATCCAATAAACTCAAAAATATTGTCTATAAATATTGTATTTAAATGATAAATCATCCTACTGGTGGTCCTGGTTTCCCAACTCCAGGAGGTCCTGGAGGTCCTGGCCGGCCTGGTTCTCCTGCAAGCCCTTCTGGACCAACTACACCAGGAAAACCCTGTGAATTAATCAGCGCTGAGAAACACTTGCTGTGCATAACAAGCACTAAAGATAATGACACCACAAAACTAGTTCATTTATAGTATCCCAGAAAACCATTAAATTAATCCCAAGAGGATCAGTCCGTTTTACCTTTTGTCCTTTAGGGCCCACCACACAAATAGGATTAGCTCGACCCTGTGACAGCCAAGACCAATAAAAGATCATTAGCTTGAGTTCATTTCAAACGCTGGCATTGGCAGTATCACACTGCTTATATAACAACCCTCCAACAGGAATCAAACAAGTCAGTTCACAGATGACTCGAGGCTTAGATAGATAAACAGTTTAAAAGCAAATTCCAAATATGGAATTAGTCAGCTTGGCCATAGCCGCCATCCCCTTAGCATGCTTTGTATACAGAATAGAAAAGATTAAGTGTAATGCGACCTGACTATCCATTTAAAAGAATCAATGAGGCTGCATTGATTTGTGGCTCTTTGTTGGCTTATGTAATCTATGCAGCATTAAAAAGATTTAACACCCAAAGAGATATCTAATGAGAAGAAAAGGCAGCAGTGAGTATATGGGTAAGAGTCTAATGCATCATGCTTTTTGCAGCAGATCACTGTGAATATATGGAGCCACTTTAAACAATATAAAAGGAAAGGGACTCTTGCATCCTTTTAAAATTAAAATATGTGCACAGAGACATACTGTGCATGCTATACAATTGTCTTTTGAGTATATTCCTGCAGTGAGACACTGAAATACATCAACACGTCTGAAGGAGACTCAGGAGGGGAGCTGGTATACATAATGTACATAAAGTAGGACATAAATATGAGCATCTTTGACTTTCAGATCAAATGCTAGCTACTTACGTCTTTGCCTGGACTTCCGGGCAGACCTGGGGCTCCGATTTCTCCTTTCTGCCCTTTGTCACCCTGAGTATGTGTATGAGAGTGACAGACAGACAGAAATGGAGATCAGCTGCTTGCAAGCTCTACTGCACTCATTAACAGTCATATCAACACGGTGGTGTCTTCCTTTACCTTCACTCCTATAGCTTCTCCCCAGTTGCCAGCCAGACCCTGAAATGTAAGAGAATGAGAAATGGGTGAATCAATAGCTAGAAATAGTATCAAGATATCCCCTCTGCTTCAGTGAAGCCTGTTGAACCAAAATTCGATCACCTCTCTCTCCAAGACAAGGTTGGCACACACACTTACCGACTCCCCCTTCTCTCCTTTCTCCCCTTTAGCACCTTCTAAGCACTAAAACACACAAATACAGCATGTCACCCAAGTGACTAAATCACATTCAGTGGAGGCCAAAAATATGAGACCACAGAGAAAATCTGGAATTGATCATCTAATTTAAACCGGGAAATAACACAAAAATAATACTAAGACATGCAACTTTCACTCAAAGTGTTATGTGGATATATATATATAT